CGGTCACATTTTTTTTTTTTAAAGTACTTTCGAATCATAGTGTTGGCGGTCACATTCAATAGAGTTTTCCCGGTCCTCCTCAAAATAAGTAATCTTTTACTTTGATTGAAAGAAAACAAATTATTTACTAAAAAAATATTTTGGGAGTTTTTCAATAAAGAAAAGAATAATGATGTTCTAGCATTCAAAATTTTCTAAATAAAGATAATATTAAATCTTTTCTCCTCAATATTAAAAATAAAAAATTCTTTTTATTATATAGTTGGCTCAGCCTAAAGACCTTCTAAATTTTAATAGTATAAAAGTCATTTTCTGTACTACCTTTTAAAAAATAGCTCTACTAGTTGATAGAATAGGTCTTTAGTTTTAAATGTAATAGAGAGGTTTCTAAATTTGGCAATAAGGAAAATAATTCTTTTAACAAAAATCACGTGATAATATTTTTATTGCATTTTTGAATGAATCACGAAATCGCAATTTTTGAAATTTGAGCGCATGACGCAGCAACAGAAGTCTTCAGACCAATTATTAAACAAGTTTAGTGAGCCTCTCGCCCTCATTAATGACCTACTAAATGAAACCGCAGAATATATTTGGAATGACTATTCTGAAACCATGAAATGCAACATAAAAACCATACATATTGTCTCAAAAAGCATCTCAACTTATTGCCACAAATCTCAATATTTGATGCTGCAACAAACAAGACTGTTCAATATGTCTGGTGGTCTGATACCAGATGCTGTTACTAGCAGATCATTGAAGTTTACAGATCTTCCTTAACATGTATATTCTAATCAGGTTACAATTATTAATAATAATGATAATGGTAATTATTAAATATACCAATATTAATTATTATCAATATTAATTTAGATATTAAATTTCTATTTATAGATGGATTTTTTAAGTAATAGCTTTTAAAGATTGACTTTTACACCTATTTTATTTAATGGTAACTATTTTTATTTATATGATTATTATTTATTAAACTAACCGAGAGCTGCGTGATAATTTTGAAATTATACATTAATTTATCGGGCAAACAGCACTATTAAGCTATTTTTGGTTGCTTTGTTATTTTAGGTACAAAATGATGTCAATATGATTGATATGCTATTTATACAACATTTCTACAAGATATAATTAAATCATATATATAATTAAACTTAATAAATAGTGACGTTTGAAAGAATAGCTTAATAGTGATTGCCTGATAACATCGATATTAGGCGTGCGATGGATAATTTCAGTGACATCTAGGATGTCATTGAAGTGAATTAAATGATTGATTTGCTGATAAAAATTAATAGAAGTAAATTAGATTTTGGTGAATCCGTTCTTTTTCTTTGTTATTTTACAAGTTCAACTCAATCGCCTGAAGGGAAAACTAATCCTGTATCTGTGGTTACACTATTGGGGTGACTTTTTGACCCTGTAATTTCCTGTAACGAATATAATTAATAATCATAAAATAAATATTATTTATATCTTTTAATTTGTAATATATAATATATATAATGTCTACAGCTTCCAACGTTCTTTCCATAGCTCAAACTTTTTTACTCAAATCCCCAGAAAATATCAGTGTAGAAGAAAAAAGAAAATACACAATTTTTAAAAATGGACAAGATGCATTAGCAGCATTATTCCATGCAATAATGATATCCTTTGAATTCAGACTAATTGGTTTTGGCGAAGACGATAATTTAAGTATGAATAAGAATAAGATTTTTATTTTTATTTTTAAATAAAATTTTCTAATGGCTATTGTTTTTATTTTCTTTAGACGTTAATTATGATATTGATAATGAAGGGAATATTATTACATTACCGGATGTTTGGAATGCTCAAGGGCCTAACTTTTATGCTTTTCGTTATAAACATCATCAATCTTCACTTACTTTTTTGATAAAATCCATGAAAATGTCTAATAAGTTTTTAGTTCATGGAATGGCTATAGAGGTTATATTTAAATTATTTTTAAATAGATATATTTTAATTGTAAGATATAACTTACTGATACCACCTTAAAATATTTATTATTTATTTTTAGGATAATAAAACAGTAACATTTGAAACAGTGACAGAAGATTATGTTTATCCTTCAATTTTTCCTTACACGCTTGAAAAAGCTGAATCACAACCGCTTCTTAATGTTTACATATCGGAAAGCCGTATCAATGACCTGATCAATCAATATAAAACCAAGATTATTGACAAATTAATTCCTAATTTATATAATGGTAAAGGTGGAACCACTACAACGTATGTGTGAAATTTATTTTTTGGGGGCAGCAATCAAGAAAATAGAGAGATTTATTTATTTTAATTCTGAAATATAGGCCGATTGTATCTTCAACTCAACCTAATACTAACGATCCTTTACGTATTCCAACTCGTCAACCTCCACTTGTTGGTCCATCTATATTTGGAGATCCTTATGGTGGCATCGAACCATCATCAACGTTTGTTTCTTTCCTTCTCTCTCATTTCTTTTTTATTTTTTTCCAAATATTTATTCATTATCTTTTTTTTATTTTGGGTAAATTTTATTTAATTTAGGATTAATCCATTTAATATTGGTCGAGATGATTTGGATCCGTTAGGTTCTAATCCATTAATAGGACCACCCAGGCAAAAAAATATTATTTTGTTCGAAGATTGATATAAAAAAATTCAATAATAATAATAAAATAAAAAACAATCTTAATAGGTATGGTGGTGGTATTGGTGGAGGAATGCCTAGTCGAGGTGGTGGAATGTTGGTTGGCCCAGATCATCCAATGTTTGGACAAAGAGTTCCGAGTCGTGGTGATCAAATTTTTGGTGGACCACAAAATTTACCAAGGTTTGTATAATAAATATTTAAATTTTAAGGTTAAGTTTGTTATTTATATAATTATAATTATTTAGAGGTTCTGTTCCACCTGGTGCAAGATTTGATCCGATTGGTCCACTTGGCCCACAACCACTCCCTAGACCAGGTCAACCTAGAGGTCGTGGTGGAAATTTTTTCAGGTGAATGTCTCATCTAAATTAATTAAATTTTTTTTTTTATAATTAATTATTAATTAATTAAACAATAATAAAATTTAAATTTAGTGGCGATCCTGATAATGATGAATTGCCTCCACCAGTAAGTATATTTAAATAAATAAATAAATTTATTTTTTTGTATTAACATTCATACTAAAATTTAAAAAATAAATCTATAGGGTTATAATGATATGTTTATGTGAAAAAAAATTTTTTTATGAGCTTTATGCTTGAAATCATATTTAATATATATATTATTAAATTCATCATGAACATTTTCTAAAATATAAAATTAAAAAATTTTTTAATAATAATTCTGATTTTAACTTTGTCTAATTCTTTTGTGGTGGATTCTAATTTAAATTTATGAAATTGAATTTGTTCTTAAACTTTCTTATATGCGTCCTCAATTCTACTTATTCCTTATTGTCCGGAAGACCTGTAAATAAAGAATTATGACGATGTCATAATATGGGGTTCGTTGTAATTGTTTTAGAGGCCATGATCGTACAAGAGATCCGCAACAAATACTCTCTTGTTGCAAATGAGCAGGCTGCTCCCTTTGCTTATTTTACGAATAATCTATTTAAAAATCATTAATTAAAGTTGCATTGTCAGCTGGTATTTCGGATGAAGTCAAAGTTAACTATTTGTTGCAAGAACAAGTTGGGCAGAAGGTAATACTAGTTTCTGTATTTGTCATTTCCGTGCGTCCGAATTTGACACGATTATTTCTCATTAACATTTATTTGAGGAATAGTTTAAAAAAGTTACCATGGCAGAATTACTATATTTGAGGGAACATTTGGTATGTTGTTGGTGATTTAACTAACCTGTGTCCTTTTCCCTCCCGTGTAATCCTCTTATTTCTTTTTCCTTCTACAAATTTTTATTTCTTTTTTTTATCTCAATTCAGGTAAAAAACATATAATAAAACTGGGAAATAGATATTACAGAATCTGGTAACTGGTGAAGTGAATCAAGCTGTTTTAAAGGCTGCAACAAATGTATTCATGAATCGCGATTCTGAGTTAAAGGCTCATATAAATTTTGTTGAAGAAACAATGTGGGGAGAGTCAAAGCTACCTATTTAGGCTATGTTCCGGAGGCTGTGGAATTGGCAAAACGGAGTTGGTGACACGATTTTGCATGAAAATGATATCCACAGGTGAAAACATAGGTCATCATTCATTTAATCAAACCGTATGCAAAGAAGATCAATGGCTACTATGTACTATGGTATACGTCATCTAAAGAACATCGAAAGAATTACCAATCTTTTAAAATACTAAAACCATTTATGGAAATTGTAAAAAAACAACTTCATTCCTACAACCTAAATAATCTAAGCAATAATGCAACGGTGAGTTTTTTCTTTTTTTTAAAGAAAAAAGTTACAAGGGTTTAAGTTACGATTTTACCACAGCTTGAGAGTAGTACTTGGCTAAACTGACTAAACTATCTAGTCATATGTTAAGTTTTAACCCACTATCAAACAAACTATTCTATTAATTCGCAAATCATTTTCAGGAAATTTTTTTTATATAAGATCGGCAGGGCTAAGATAACATTGTAAAATTTCTTATTTTCAAAATGGTGACTACATCACAAATTTCAAACATTATTTTATGTGGTGTTATTTCACTATGACTCATTTTCAACAAAGAAGTAAGCCACTTCAATATGGAAGTTCACATGGTTCATAAACGAGTACACTTATGTCATTGTGTATGCTAAAAGAGTAGTTTTATTTAGAAAATTTATAGAAACAACATTTATAGCTTTCTCTAAATTTTTATTAAATAAAAATTTTTTGTTACTTGATTCATTATCATCTTTATTATACATGAAGTCGAAATTAAAAATCCCGAAAGTCAAAATGTTTCAACCTGAAAGGCCAAAAGTCGAATTAAAAGTCGAAATTACATCGTACAACATGCTGAACATACAATTAAAGGTTTCAAATTGTCATAACTTGGTCAATATCGGCTGTTTTGGATAAAACAACTACCGTTCGAATTCTCTCGATGAGATGTGGTTCATAAAATCCGAACCATCGATTATTGAGATATTTTGGTTTGCCGTATATCTTACAATAACTCTCCATTTATTGATGCTATGAACATTAAAGCACCATTATTCGAGAATCCTCTTTATGAGACTATTCTAATGAGACGTGTTTCATTAAATTTAGATCACTGGTTCTTCAAGATAAATCATTTTGAATTAATAATAAATCATGTGATATGACCATTTCGACTATGTATAATTTTTATTATTCTCATCGTAAAGAACAACTTTTAAAGGAACTTTTCTTCTCCTCAGAAGCCCTTTGTAAGTTCATATTCCCAGGGAGTTCAAGTTAAAAGTATAGCACTGATACTTGTTAAGAAAGTTATAGCAGGTAGCATAATAAATATTATGTATTGTATTATTAGTCCATAAATTTTAAAAATTCATGAATGACTGATCTTATAACTTAAAGAAAAATAATATTAATAATATTATTACGTTGTCTAACAATTAATCCTAGTTTTAAAAATTTATTACACGAATTTTTAATTCTCTAGATCATTAAATATATTAATTATTTTTTTTCGATTTTCTTACGAAATTCTCGAAGCCTTTTCTTTTTTGAATATTTCTTTAAATCCTTTTCCACAACATTATCAGGTCGATATCTTTATTTTAAAAATTTAATTTAAACAAAAATGGTTTATAATCGTTAATAAGCATTCAAACAATAACAATACTTACGGCGCATATTTTTTCAAAGACACGAATTCATTTAAATCTTTTTCATCTGCTAGTAATATCTCTGTGGGTGTCAAACCAAATGATGTTGACTTGACTTTATTGTATTTAAACCTTACGGGAGTATCATCAATCTATATAAAATGGTTAGTTATTTTTCTTATAAATTAAATAAAAAAACTCTGCCAATAAAACTTACTATATCCTCATAATTCAGTTGATAATATTCATCCAAATATTCATCATCGCTTGCCTAAATAGTCAATTTATAATTAATTTAATTGAAAATATCAATTTAGGAAACCCGTGTGATAATTACCTGTTTATTATAGAATTCCTCATCAAAAATTTTTTGCATTTTATCATCATACTTTTCGGGATTAAAATCCTCTTCAAGATCAACCTCATCAAAACCAACATCTTTGGAAATTGGATGAAAATAATTTAGCGAATCAACAAATATGACTAAACAAATTAATCAGGTAAAAGAGCTTACTTTCATTCCCTGTTATCTCCTTTATTTTTTGTAATTTTTCATGGATTTCCTTTTTCTTGAGATTTTTGAATCTTTTTAATTCTTCCATTTTTTTCTTCTTTTCTTCAGCTTTACGTTCTTCACGATCATAACGTTGAATTTTGCGTTTGTTATCGATTCTATAAAATTAGAAGATTTAATTGTTAGAACTATTAAAGATTTTCGATTTAATTAATTCACACAATTTACCATCCATACCTTCTCATTGAGCCTTCAACATTTCGAGAATATGTTGTTATCTTTGTGCTTCCTCTAATTTATTCAGGAAAGAAAGTTATAGTAATAGTAATAATATTTATAAGTTTTTCTATATATATATTTATTTATTTATTTATTTATTTATTTAATATCTACATACCCCTCTTCAAAACGAAAGTTATATTTGCTTTCAAAGTTATCAACAGCTTCATCAAACTCATCTTCTTCGCTGTCATGATGTTCTGCAACCAATTCTTCATATGTTGGAATCCGAATTAAATCTTTGTCAATCCATCCACGATTAAGAATATATCTAAACATAATTAATTCGTAATAACCATGTTTATATCAAAAACATTGAAATCGATGAAAATTATATTGAATAAAATAAATACTCAGTTAAAAATGCTTCGTCATTGTCTATGTTAGGATTTTCTTTAAAGTTTTGCCATTCTTTTATTTGATTTTCATTAACGTTATCCTTTTTTAAAAAAAAAGGATAATAGTAAGTTTAAATTGAAATTTTTAAATAAAAATAAAAACATTGGTAGCTTATTCACCATCGTCATATGTTCTAGTAAAAATTTTTGATAATCTTCTTCTTCGGTTCTTATTTCTTCAGCAGTTTTTGGCCGTTGAATAAAAAAATCATCATCATCATCATTAGTAACTATAGAAGAAGCCATTGCCTTGAATTCCTCTTTCAATTTTTGTTCTTCTTCTATTGGTGTCAATTCAAGTTTCTTATTGGACGCTTTTGTAGATATATCATTATCACTATCACTGTCATCATTATCACCATTTTTTAATAAAATTTGACGATGATAATCTTTCAAATGTATTGGCTTCGTTCCAGACTAAATCATTGAAATAATAATAGTCAACAAAAGAATAATTTTAAAAATTTTTTAAATAACATAACATTACCTTTTTCTTTTTTTGTTTCTCTTGCCATTGTTTCCTTGCTTTTTCAATTTCTTCATCTTAATTTAAAAATAATATATGAGCAATGAAGAAATGTTGAGTGACATAGATAAAGATTAATTACCAGCAAAAAAATTTGCTTGAGAATTATAAACTTTGGGATCTTTTGATCGTATCGCAGTTATAGTTTTCATTATCTGTGCATCCACCTCTGGAGTAATCAATTCGCCGTATTCGTCTTCCTCTTCAGAAGTTGAATCGCTAACTGCCACATCTTCGGAATTCAAATCAGAGCGATCATATTTTTCTTTTACTATAACAAACATTTAATATATTTTACAAATTAAATGCTAATCTCCTCTCTCCAAGTAACTCAAAGATGCAACAGTGATTAACTAAATTTACATTTGGATAATTCTTCGCCTCTTTTCCTTATTTCGTATTTTTTTGCATATTGATGATTGATTTTAAATTCAACAGGTTCGTCATCAAGATCCATTTTTTCAAATCTTTTTGCAATATAGCTCAGTAATATCAATAGTCGAGAAAATTGTTACTAAATCAAGTCATTTGTACATCAATCACGTTTTTCTTACATGACAATCAATAAATGAATAAATATATAATTTATTACTATTATTATCACACATTGCTTACTCTATAGTACATGAGTAATAATAAAAATGTTAATTCATTACATTATATGATTATAATAATACAATAATATTAATAATATTAATACATAAATAAATAAATAAATTAATTAATTCAATAAATAGATAAATTTATAATTATTCTAAATCAACTTTCCTGAATAAATAATGACAAAAATTATAGTATTATTAATAAGAATTTATGTAATATAACAGAACAGAACAGAGCAGAATATTATTCCTTACCATGGTCTTGGCATTAAAGCAATAGGCAGAACCCAAGTAGCTGCTAGTACAACACCATTACCAACATTTTGTGATTTAATAAGTGTAAATTGTAAACCAACCCATGCAGAAATTAAACCAAAATATGGTGAAATTGGAGATGAATTGCCTACCACAATATGTAATAATCCTAAAAATGAATTACTAACATTTTGTGCTTGATCTAATCTTCCCATACATTTTTGTGGTACATAAACTTCATATCCCCACCAATAAACATAACACGAAATAGTATTTAATGATGGTTTGATAATTTTATCTTTATTAGTTGAATTAGTTTTCAATGAATTGGCTTTAATAGTTGTTGTAATTGTAACATCTGTTGTTGAAGTTGATGATGATACAACAATTTTTGATCCATCTTTAATAGAACTAGTTTTAGTGATTGTTCCTTTACTATTAACATTAATAACATTTTCATTAATATTCACATCAATATTTGTTTGATCATCATCATCTTCTTCTTCTTCTTCTTCTTCTTCTTCTCCTCCTTCTTCACTTCCAGACATCAATTCCTTCTCATCATTTTCTTTATTTTTAACATATACTGTATCTTTTGATAGAGGAATGGTAGCAGAAGATGTAGTATCAGATCCAGATAAATTTTTGATGCTATCATTTTTATCAATTTCCACACCAATACTAGTCACTAAAGGTGAATCAGGTTCTGGCATAGCTTTTAAAATTGATATCATTCTTTGAGCTGTAACATGATTTTGTAATGCCTTAACTGCTTTTTTACGTCTTCTTACCTCCTTTTTTTTACTTTTTGCATGATGACTGTGGTCAATTCCTAAAATAATATCTTTAACGGCATGTGCAAGATTTTCATGATCTGTTTCTTTTCTTTTTTTTATATTCCACCAAGAAAGCATTATTAATGTACACTTTAAGAAAAATTATTTTTGCATTAGAAACTTGTTTATCATACTCTTAAATCCATCATCAAAAAATTTTTTTTCTCCTTTTTCTCCTGAATTCAAAGGGGCAAAAACTATAAATGTTATACAAAATTCTGTACACATCGCACACATTAATTTAAATTCAAGTTTCACAAGTACATATGGGGTATGGACAATAGAAACGTCCCTGAGGACGAATTTGAGTTAATGGCACCCCTACATTGAATTCACTACAAGTATTAATTTTAGCTTAGAAAATATACCCACTTTTAGTGGTAGTATCCGTCGGATATTCGGATATTCGCCGATCATCCTTTCACAAAATTTTGATATCCGAATACTCAATTGTCAAATAATTTTGATATCCGAATATTTGATCGGTTTGCCAGTTTTGATATTCGGATACCCGAATATCCGTCAAATATCCGTCAAATATCCGTCGATATTAATGTCTCAA